TAATATCGATCAAGAAAGGAACGATAACGCCACTGATGAATGGATTGACATAGAGGATGATGACACTGGCGAAGATATCGTTTCTCAAAAATGTACACTTAACATCACGAATTCAGATATTGAGGAGCCAAATGATGCATTTGGCCGCTTTATTACCAGTGACATATTAGACATTATTGTTAATGAGACAAACATTTATGCCACGCAACAGTTGACTGTCCAGCGTTCCAGAAAATCCAGACTAAATTCCTGGACTGCGACTAATCGAGATGAAATAAGAGCATTTTTAGGTGTTACTTTAGCTATGGGCCTTACTCAAGTTCCTCATATTAATCTGTATTGGTCCAAAGATCCCATGTTCCACAACCGCTTTGTAGCAAATGCTATTACACGTGATCGGTACCTTTTGCTGTTAAAATTTTTACATTTCGCAAACAATGAGACCAGTGATGCATCTAATCGACTTTATAAAATAGCACATATAGTTTCACTCATTCTTAAAAATTTTCAAAAAACTCTAACACCTGGTAATGTACTTGTTATAGATGAGTCAATGATGCCTTTTAGAGGAAGACTCCTTTTCCGACAGTATATTCCAAATAAAAGCCATAAATATGGAGTTAAATTGTACAAACTTTGCTCACCTGAAGGTTACACTTTCAACGTAATAATTTATACAAGAAAAGGCGATACAGTACCGGAGTTTGGACATTCACAATCAGTTGTCATCAAGCTACTTGATTGTGTTGAAGATAAAGAAGGAAAAATCCTATATGCCGATAACTATTACTACAGCGTTCCCCTTGTTAGTCGGTTACTGAAAGAAAAGATGATGTACTGTGGCACATTGAGGGCCAATCGGAAAGGTTTACCACCTTCATTTGTTACTAAAAAGAACATCAAACGGGGTGAAATATATGGGAAGAAAAAGGGTTCCATCAAAATCATTAAATGGATGGATAAAAGGCAGGTTTTGATGATTAGCAGTGTACCTTCACATAATACGAATTTACTACCCATTGGGAAGAAAAACAAAAAAGGAGAAGAAATTGTTAAGCCACTATGTATTATACAGTACAATTCAGCAAAAAAGGGCGTTGATTATTCAGATCAAATGTCTTCGTATCATAGTGTCCTTAGAAGGAGTTTGAAGTGGTATCGGTAAGATCTTCTTTATATATTTTTGGCCATTATTTTCCCTGTTCTTTTTACAGAAAGGTCATGTTCGAAATGATCCTTGGGACATGTGTCGTCAATGCACTAATTTTATATAACATGTGTTCTGAAACTAAACTTAGTATTACGGAATTTAGAAGGCAGCTAGCATATTCACTTGTTAAACCTATGGAGCCACCAAAACCTCCTAAAAAGAGAGTACACAGTTTAACAAAACCAGATGGTCCTGGGCGGAAGAAGCGTAAACCTTGCAAACAGTGCCGTCAGGTTTTAAAAGCATCAGGCTTATCCCATCGTGAGGTGGATAAGAAGGTTAGAAGAGTGGTCACTTATTGCGCAGATTGTCCAGGCGAACCCGGATATTGTTTAAATTGTTTTAATGAGACTCATAAATAGGTTTTTTAATCTCTGAAGAAGTGTTTAGTTTTCGTACAGTATTTGTTTTTTGTTTTATGATTTTTACTTTACTTACTTATTTAGAATTTTAACAATGAATTGACTTGTATTTGTAACATGACATTTAGGTGTACCCAAATATCCTTATAACAAGATATTAAAACGTTACAAATATTATATAGCGCGCGTTTTACAGGTTTTACTGAGAAAAGGGTTTTTATAAGGTATAGTACACAATTATCTTTACTTCTATGCGGCACGTATCCCAGGAGGCATGCGCTGTTCTGTTCATATAAAGATTACTTTATTTAGATAAGATCCGCACCTCATATTACTGCAGAAGTGTGAAAAATAATAAATAGAGGGCTCTACTTGCTTCATGCTTACACATGCCACAAATGGCATGGGTCGCATATAAACTAAATACGTTCACATGCCCCCATAGGCATGTGTCGCGCATTAAATGAATCGTCAAAAATGACAACCGCAGTCAACGTGTTAATCGATGTATGTACATGTAGCAGAAATTGTTGTAAGTTAATTTAAAAGGGGCCGGTTTATAGTGACAACCCGGGCCGAAAAATGCTCCCAATCCGGGCCTGTAGAAATGCCTCGTGATTTTCACTATTTTATGTTTAAGATGAATTTGTGTTAAATGTAGTTGTTTGTTTAATATACCCTTTTATTATAAACGCGATTTTGTGCGTATTGTTAATAGATTATGGGCCCAGGACCCAGGAAAGGCTAAAACGCGATTTTGTACAGTTTGTTCTGGGTTTTTGAAGTTCAAGTTAAATAACGGGTTTTCCAATAAGAGGTGTTATTTTGATATTCAAAGGAAAGTACCATTTTTTACATTTTTTAAGATAAATGATCGGATATTTATTACATTATAAAGAGGAAGGTATGCCGTTAATAATGGAAAATAACATCAGCTAAATGACCACGATGACCACGCCTACAAGACCATATCCTTTTCATAAAATTTTCCGTAACCAAATCGCAAAGTGGCTGCCCTATGTCCTCGATAGCTTCACGAATTCCATCTTTGAGGTCTTGATCGATGCTGAGCTGTTGGCGTAGACCTTGTCTTTCACGTGGCCCCAAAGGAAGAAGTCGCAAGGTGTCATATCACAACATCTCGTGGCCAATTGTGATCACCTCTTCAAGGGATGACACGGCCCGGAAACTTTTCCCGTAAAGATTCGTTGTTTGTGTTTGTGTTGAAGCGTGTATCGTTCCATTTTTATTACTTAATGGCGTAGTTTCTACTTGTATAATGTCAAAAAATGACAGCTTCAAAACTGACATCTACCGAAATAGCGGGCTATTCAAAATAACACTCTATATTGCTGTTTGCACCGGTCCGTAAGCCAAAAAGACCGTACACAAAACACCTAAACAAACCTAGCTAGCTCAAACCTTTATATTTCCCGGAACAAAACTTCTCCCCAGCACAGAGGAGGAAAATGCCGCAACACAAACTTGCCACAAACTCGGCTTGTTACTCCGTAAAACGGAAACTCTACTAACGTCCAATGCTGGTTGGTTTTTACACAATACAAACTACGGTGGTAACTCGCCGAAGCGAAATAAATTTCTTCACTAAACTCAAAAACTGCCCTTACTGGCAACCAAACTCACGATAAAACTTCAAAACTCCAAAACAAAATTTCAAACTTCAGCAAATGTAGATCTGCTCACAGAATAAGACCTTCACAGAACAGAAACATAAATGGCGCTAAATTGTCACTGATTACAGCGTTTCCCGTGGTTGTACAGAGAACTATTTATCGCAGGCTCAAATATTTTTTGACAAAACCTGTAATTTTGCTCGTTACAGGAAATATACACATGGTTTTACACATGTCAATTTTGACTTTTGAAGGATTTAAAACATGAACAAGTTATGTGACCGTAAAAAGTGTTGTGTGGCGGATTGTAACGATAAAATATCAAAAAGGCATCGTTTAGCATATTTTGAAACGCGAAGAGGGTTGAAATGTGCTGTTATTTCTCTCTCCTATTTATGCAAGGTATGGAATTTATAAATTACCAACGGTATAGGTGCAAAAGGGTGTAGACTTGAGTTTTATATTTATATAGACGTAGATACTTATATTGTAAATTCGTTTTTTAAGATAATTCAACAACTTCCACCCTCGCTTCTCAAGTAACAAGTAAGCACCAGGATCAAGTTAACATTTCTTGTCAAAAACTTGTGTGACAATTTGCTGAAACGGTTTTATTACCTCTTGGAACAAAAAATTTAGTTCTCAAGATATTTTTAACAAACATTTAGTCCAAACAGCAATTAAAACCAAATATTTCGCACGACAAATTGGTATGTAAGAATCTTTCTGCAAAGTGTTAACATCTACCAAGCGTAAGTTCCACTCACTTCTGAGTTTTATATGTAATTTGTAAACGTGTAACTTAAGTTCTCTGTGTTAAATAATGTAATGTGATTGTATCTATAAATACACTTTAATTTAACAACTGTGTATTCTTTATCGATATTTATGATTTAAATCGAATTGGGGAAATTACTTCATGACTTTAGAAGCTGGTCACCAGATGGCGACACTCTGATTTTGATGCTTTAGTTCACAGCACACCCACCAGGGTCCGCCAAAATACCATACAAATTTGTAACATTGCTGTTTCTATTCTGAGAAGGCCGTATTCTGTGGATCTGCTCTCAAACTCGCAAAACGCTGATTTCAATCTCAAACAAACGTATGAACTTGGCAAAAAGCCCTTCCTCTTCTCAAATACAAACCTTGACCTCTTTCTCGTAACAATAATTTCTGTTGAAGTACTGAACCAACGACACAGATCAAAAATTTAAATTAAAAAAAATTAATTACATGGAAACAGGAAACCGCCCTTGTCCATTCTAGTTAAGAATCCCAAAATTTCGTCCTGCCAGACGAAATAACACAGCAATATTATTAGTGACTTTAAATAACACCTCTTATAGGAAAACCCGTTATTATGATTTCCCATGTAAACAAAAAAGTCAAAGGTGACTCGACAGGAACTCTTTTTTGATCGCATAGTAGCAGCCGGTACCTATACTGTATTCATTTGAAGGTAGCGGTACAAAGCATAGGGAAGCTTTGACCTTCAGTGTGATTGGTTAAAACACGAGTCAGTATTACGCTGAAACATAAAACGAGTGGCGAATTTTGCAAGCTGGTAGTTGTAGTTGCCATCTAAACTGTTGGAAGTGTCATTAACTGCTAATGTCAAAGATTTAATTCTGTTTGCAGTACTGGATATTTCTACTTTAGAATAATTTGATGGCATTTTATATTTTTTCTGTGTGTGCTTATCTTCAAACACAGCGCCATCTACTACCTTCTTCTAATGAATGAAGTATAGCTTTCACATTTTCTTATTAATAATAGTATTTTCTTTATTATTCAGTAGATAACTCTAGGTAAATGACAACAATACGCGTAGCATATAATAATGTAAATAAAAAAATTTACCTCAATAAGGGATTTCACATCCTCTTCAGACAAAGTTTCCATTTGACGTGTCTCCAAAAATTTCATAAAAGTAGACAAAGTAATTACTTGCGAATTGCTAGTATCTATGCCAGCGCAATTCGTAAAAATACTGGCAGCGGCAATCGCGTCGTAAATTTTCTTTTGCGAATATACGTTCCCTTCGAGTTCCGCATTACTATTTCTCGTCAGCAAGCCCATTTTTTGAGGTTTTTTTACGTTTTTATCACCGGTTGCTTTGATTCCATTTACTTTTGATGTCGTTGCGTTCACAGCCAAGCTTCGATATGATATTGCTAATTGATCGAATAGATCACGTAAATCTTTCCGAATTAACAGGCTAAAAAGGATTATTTGAAAGAGAATGGGAATTAAATTACAGATCACAGTCACTTACTTACCTAAATGAGCGAAATAGCAGAACAAAATCAACAAAATCTAACTGTGTGTCATATAAAATTGAACCTACTCTGGGATGCCGACCATGCCACAATTGCTCTGTTGAACCATGTCGATCTCTGGAAAAGATGTTTTTCTAACAAGTAAAAGCAAAATTAGTTCTACCTATCAAATTTAGGTTGGGATTGAGAATGATAAGCCAACTGTCCCAGACTATGATGCCGTGCAACATCAGGGTGGTGTTCCAAGAAGGTTGTTGGTGTTGATTGTCGGTGATGTGTTGGATTGCGCCAGTAACTACTTTCCATGCACATTGTGGCGGGTTCAACGAATTGACTTCGAAGACTGCGATCCTAAAGTAGATAATTAGAAAATGACCAAATCATACTTTCAACCTTACTTTAAAGGCTTGATTAGTTAACAGCTGTTTTTTCTTAATTTTCATTGAGACTTCTCTTCTTAAAACTCCAGGGGATTCTCCCGCCTGTCCGCTAGCTGTCATGCCAGCTAGTGACCAATCTCTTCCGCCAAACGACTGCACATCGATACAGTTCTACTTTGTGTGCTCTTAGAAAATAATTGGACTTACTCTGATTGCATCAGCCGCCAAAGGTCCGCAACAGTATCCATCTTCGTGGTACAGTTGCATGTACTGTTCTCTTAACCAAAATAGCCTTCTATCAGACAGCGATTCTTGCCTAACTAAACCGTGTACCAACCAGCTCAAGCCGCTAAACCATATTCTATAATGGTAAACTGTGAGTATCTGATTAAATACCGTTCCCTTACCTGCAAACAGATGGCGGACATACAAGGTATAAAAGTCGATTATCATTGAGGCCGTATCCGTAAAGAATTGTGAGCGCACATTCGTTGCCAGGTTCGTGATTTAGACCATATCGCCTACTGACGGCCGCTAATTCCAATTCTTTTTCGTAATCTCGACCTCCCAAATGCACTTCCTTCACTACCAAAAGATCCAGGAACCTAAAATGAATAAATTCCACAATAATGCATTTCAATTTTCATAGTGTAATATGCTACAGCCAAATCAATCACAACGGATTAGCAAGAAGCATAGGACAATGTTTTGATTTCTTTTAAATTTTTGTGCAAATATTGTCAATTTTTTGAAAATTAATGTTGGTCGTTACGGTGGTAGATTAAGTTCATCTGTGAGCAGTGAAACGTCACAAAAATTTTACAAAGAAGACAAAAGAAGCAATCCAGCGATGCATTGCAAAGCTTAATTGACTCAAAAAACCTGAATCGAAATTATTGTGCTTAGTATTCCCCCTCTCATAACATTTCCTTAGAAACAAATATTGGTTTTGAACCATTTGTATGGGAAGAGGGTAAAATGAGCCACCAGTTCGTTATCGATATCTTGAAACAAAACCTTCCAAATACGCGCCCATTTGTACCATTTTTTACAGATTCTGCTAACCGTTTTATGTGCGTAAATGCTCATTGAAAATTTGAGTTAGATGAATGTTTATTTTTTTAATTAACAGATTATTTATTATTTCGATTGGAAAGAAAGTCATGAACTAGACACGCCCTTATTGTAAAAATTTAACGTTCAACATTAGATAGCATTATACTCTCAAAGACGAGAAAATAAAGCATGCGATTTTTCAACACCTGTGCCCCATCGAACAATGGATGAAATTGTTAGTTTAATTTATGATGAAATTTATAATTAAAAAATCGAAAATAACAATGCTCTGTACAAGGTGGTTCGAATTCGTGGCTCACCATGGGGATCTCCGTAGCAGTGACAGATACATTGTGCGTTAAAAAACCCATTTGACATTTTTGCAAAATCTTTGAAAACAACTGAGGTATCACCGAAAAACTGAAAATATCAAATTTTGTTTTTTAGTTGACCCTAGCTTAAACGGTCGGAAATGGATCGTTCCCATTAGCACGTTCTATGAGATTTTTTTTCGGAGAATTTGAATTCAGTGAATTAGACTAAACCGCGTATAGCTTTGTATGATTTAATGAACGTTATTTAATTTTTGTATTTGTTTACTCGTGAGATTGTTTATAAAGATAAATTTGATCATCTGGTAAGAGATATTTTTTTGAGCTTATTTGGGAATGAGATTCTTGTCATCAATAGAATTACGAACTCGAAGTCCCTTCCGATTGTAACTACCGTTACAATGTAGCCACTTTTTAAGAGGTTGCTGTGCTCTATATTAAACTTTCGTAATAAATTATATTCGCGCGAAAACATCTCTGATCTTTTAAGTCCACGTGGCTTCGTCTACCAAAGCTGTGGTCGTCAAATGTAACCTTCCATTACAATTATCACATCATAATCATCATGATACCTAAGAAACAACTTTCAAATATAATAAATGTTAAAAAGAATCAATATTTTCATCCATGAAGTATTGCAGTTTGCTATCAAGTTGATCTCTGACGCTACCAAACCGAAACGGAACTACTCGTATATTCACTGGTAGGTAATATTTTTTTCTAATTTTTGAATATCCATTCATTAGTGCAGTTTGGTAGATTCAAATGATCCCATAGGAAGGAATAATATGTGTTTTGGTATGGTTATTTAATTTTTTAATGTCTCTGTGTGTCTGCGGATTTTTTTAAAACTTCTTTTTCGTTGACGTCGCGCTCTGCTATTTCGCGTACCGCGATAGATACATGCGCCAAAGTCACTTGCGTCGTACCGTGGTAATGTGTTTACATTTACATTCTGTACGCTAGGTTTCCGTTATCGTAATATCCGTCAATATCGAGCGTACGAAGTGCTGGGGAAACTAACTATAGATTTGATACCCGGAAGATTGCCAAGACGTAGTAGAAGTAGAGAACGCGATCACCGATCCAAAGGCGAGTTACGTAAACGGTTACATAGGTTAGAATGACTTTTGGAACGGGAAAAGGAGAATGCTTATGGAAGGCGAGTCAGCAGCTTTTCACGCACGCGGCGTTCTCGATCGCGCTCCTTCTTTGACAGGATCAGTGGCGGCGCCACACGTGGTTATGATGCTTCTTCAAGCAAACATTCTACACCACAGCGATCCTACTCATCGGATGCTTCTTTAAGCACCTCGCCGCAGCCTTCTTTAGGGCCAAGCCACACCCCTAGGACTACTTTAAGTCGCAGGGGTTCTCCTGAATCTCCTAAAGTTCTACCCGATTCAGGCAGTCCCAAGCAGAGGACCCCCGTGGGCCGCTCCTTGGCCTTATTCAATGCATCAATAAATGATGAGCAGGCCGATGCAAATGCGCTCGTCCTGCAGGATAGTTCTTCGGATTTTGACGAGTTTGCAGGCCGACCCAGGCGGAAAATATTCATGACGCAATTGCCACCAGATGAAACCATATCGTAGAAAATGGATTATCTCCTGATAACTTGCAGACGCTAACCCATCAATATGCAGTGCCTGGAGGCTGGAACTGCCCACGCTTAGCCCCTCCTCGGTTAAACCCTGAGGTCCTATCAACCCTCGCAAATGATAGAACGGCTAGGAATAACTTTTATAAGGAGATTCAGAGCAAGATTGTTATCGCTATCGTGGCAATGGGCAAATCAATGTCTCTCATTCTGAACAGCGTCCCCTTTGTGACAAAGGAGTCCCGGGACCTCGTCTTAGTCCCGTTGGGCGATGCCAGTCGTTTGTTGTCTCACACACTATTTGATATTTTTGATTCTAGGCGCAAAATTATCTTGTTCACTCGTAATAAAAACATTAGAGAAACTTTAGGGAAAACCACATCAGGAGAATTTCTTTTTGGACCGGCCGTTTCAGAGAGTGTGTGAGAGGCGCAAAAGTTGCAAAATGCAGGGAAGGAGCTAAGACAAGTTCAGTTTTCCCTTCCACAAGTAAAGGAGGGGGAGGAGGAAACCTACGAGGGCGCAGGACGGGTTACTCCGGAAAGGACCACCGTCCTTTAAACCGGTACGGCCCATCTCGTCCAAGGGGACAGACGAGACAATCACGAGGGCACCAGTCCCATCCGAAGCAGGGAAGATTCAGGCGCTAGAGAAGGTAAGCCCAATTGCGGGTAGACTTGCAAATTTTTTTGGTAATTGGTGTAAGGTAACTGCAAATCCTGTACTACGACAGTGGATCAAAGGCTACCGTTTGCCACTGATTAGTAACCCAGTACAATTAATGCGCAGTGCTCGTCTTAAGATTTGGACCACCAAAGATAAGGATATGCATGATGCAATCGCTAAACTACTCAGGTTGAATGCTATAACCGTTGAGTAGATCCTTCACTCAACGCTATAACAATATGTAGCCCTTGCTCTGGGCAATTTATCTCGGATATTTTCCTGACAGATAAATCAGATGGAAGTAAACGTTTCATACTTAATTTAAAACGCCTCAATCTTTTCATAGAAACGCCCCACTTTAAAATGGAAGATATTCGAACAGCTTTGAGACTTCTTAAAAAAGACTGTTGGTTTACTTCAGTCGACATTAAGGACGCCTATTTCCATGACAGGATTCACCCGGATTTTACGAAATTTTTAAGGTTCGTGTTTGATAAGGAGCTTTATGAATTTACGTGCTTGCCTTTTGGGATAGCTTCGGCACCTTATATCTTTACCAAACTCATGAGGCCAGTGACACAATTACTTCGTCTTAAGGGAATCATCTGCGTGTGTTATTTGGACGACATCTTAATTTTGAGTCCTACCTACGAGAGTTGCCTGCAACATACTAATCTGACGGTTGATTTTTTGCAATCTTTGGGATTCTCTATAATGCAAACAAGTCACCTGATCCCTGTCAAAACTATCAAATTCTTGAGTTTTCTCTTAGACTCGGAGCACCTTAAAATATATTTACCGTTAGAGAAAAAGGAAAAAATCAAGCTTTGGGTCAAAAGATTCTTGTCCAAACCTCGTTGTAAAATTCGAGAATTGGCGCAGTTCATCGGGTACCTCGTTTCTGTATGTCAGGGCGTATATTAAATTGTTTGAACGCCATAAACACTTAGCACTTATAAAAAATAATGGGTGTTACTCGGCTACAATGTCTTTGCATGAAGATCTGCAGCAAGATTTCCTGTGGTGGCTTATTAAGATGCGATAACACCACAGCTTTATCATATATTAGTAAGATGGGAAGCGTACATCATCCGCTTTTCTCTGCTCTCGCTAAAGAGATATGGAAGTGGTGTGAAGAGCGAAACTTGTGGCTGCTTGCTTCTTATGTTAGCTCATCAGACAACTGGATAGCCGACAAGGAGTCTCGGCGCTTACAATCTGAAACTGAATGGAGCCTATCAAGCTAACTATATTCAAAGCTATCAAGCAAGACCTTTGACTTGATAACTGATTTTTTTGGTGTACCAGAAGTAGACCCATTTGCCTCCAGAGACAATCACAAATGCAATTTATATGTTTCTTGGCAGAGAGACCCTCTTGCCTTTAAGGTCGATAGTTTCACTTTCTCGTGGAAGAATTTCTCCTTTTACGCTTTCCCACCTTTTGCCCTGATATTGAGAGTTCTTGAAAAGATAATTGCTGACAAGGCGGAGGGGATAGTCTTAGTCCCCATGTGGGAAAACCAAGGTTGGTTTCCACTTTTTTCAAAATTAATTATTAAAAGCCCTATCGTTTTCAAACCAACTAAAGATCTTTTATCTCGTCCTTACAGCACACACCCTCACCCGTTGGCGGACCAATTTACACTACTAGCGGCCAAGCTATCCGAGAAGCCTTCACTCTAAAACTACTACCAGCGAACGTGGTGGAGACCATCCTTAGCTCCATAACAGAGGCGACCATCAAACAGTCCGGGGTGACTTACAAGGTATTTCCCCTTACAATGGAACACCTTCCCAGGTGATGGAATTTTTGCAACAGCTCTACGAGACAGGCAAAAATGCATATGGCTCCTTCAATGCTCATAGCTCCGCCCCTCCCTAATTCTATCCACGGATTTAGCGGGCCATTCTTCTAATCCTTAATATGTTTAGCGCAGATTAACTTATGA